GGGGGAGAGAAACATCCGTGTGCGAGAGAAACATTGACTGGTTGTCTCCTGTATGCTCCCCAGCCAGGGATGGAACCCACAACCTAGGTATGTGCCCTGACCTGGAACTGAATCCACAACCTTATGGTGCATAGGATGGCACTCCAACCACTGAGCCACCAGGCCAGGGCTCCTTCTTTTTAGAAATAGGAGAGTTTTACCATCACGTTATAACCTAAAAGTATAAAAACGTAAAGAGAAAAACAACTACAAAGAATTTAAGTGGAAAAATGAAACCAAACCAGAATTCTTTGATATTTTTTTTTTCACATGACCCCATGCTTCTTTACAATCAAACAAGTTTTAATAAGATAGTGCTTACAGTTTTTCTGGAATAATTTGGCAAACAAATAAAATCCCGATTAACAATACATCAGAACTCCAGAATTCATCACATAGGTCTTTCCACTGAGGGTGGAGCATAGCTATCAGAATTTGTCCTATAGCTGAAATTAACTTCCTCGTTTTTAACTGGATTATAATGAGTCAAGTCTCAACACTTGGTATTTTATCAATAGCTGGAATCACTACTTCGGAGTATTTTTATTCTAATTTCATTTACTTATTTGAAAAGTTGATATCTGTTTTAGAGTAAAACTAGAAAGTGTTCGTTTGTGAAAAGCAATAAAATATATGTCTAAAATAATTTCATATTGTAAAGGAAGGTCTTTTAAAAGCAAAATATTTCAGATTTTTGGATCAACTGCAGATGAAGAAAATATAGCTGTGTTAATATAAAACTATTTTTTTCTATTACTATATGACACACATTGACAAAAATATAAGCTTACAAGAAGTTACCTGTTGGCATGTTAACTTTTAAATAGTTTCATTCTTGGTCAAAAGTTTAGGGTTGAAAAACAGCACCTAAAATTAATAATTTAGGAAAAATTATCTTCTTTTGAGGGCATTATTAAATGTCAAATATTCTAATAGCAATAGTCTTTTAAATTATGAAACTAAGACATATGCTAGTGACAAAATTCTTTGGTTAGAGTATTTTAAAAAATACTAGATATCAATAAAAAAATCAGATAAAAGTAAAAGGTCAACATTAAACAGTAGTACAAATGCACTAAATAGAAATCATTGCCTAAACAATGTAAGGTAACCTTAAGCCTCTGTCTAGAGAAAACTCTTAATAAACACTGTTAATGTAATAGTATAATATATAAAATTACATATGAAAGATATGTCAGTAAATGAATTTGAATGACCTGAGTTGACTTTTTCATAGTGTATTTTAAATCTGATTTTTAAATAGAATCAATAACTTTTCATTTTTCAGCTTATTGAAAATGGCCAAAAACATACTATAGAAGAAAATCTTTCACAGCATTTGAAAGGTTTGCATTCCTATAGAACCTCAAAACTTTTATAAAAGTACTTTAAAGTTCAGTGTAGATTGTGCATTTACGAATCTCTTTCAAAAATTTCTGACATCTGGCAAAGTAGCTAATAAGACATGCTTACATGTGAAGTTATCTGCTATAACAGAAAGAAATTAAATGTATTTAGAAGAGATAAAGGATCTATACTTATGATTACAAACTCTTACTTTCATTTCATAAAGGGGACTTACTCCTGACTTAAGCAGAAAGACTATAACAGAAATCTCAGCTTCCTATTATCACAAGGTATAATATCAAGGTCTTCTCCCAAAGGCAATCACTCTTTCTTATACAGACAAGCAAGGAGAGAGAGGGATGGGGGGGAGGAAGTGAGAGAGAAAATATCACTGGCTCATTGTATGAATATCTTCTCCCAAACAAACAGGGCTTACCTTGGTGAAAACTTCCATTCATACAAACAACAAATTTTGTTGGATATGCAGTGTTTCAAAAGCCTTTGAATGTGGCCTTGCATTTTCTAACCGGTCAAAAATCTGATTTATATGGCCGCACTGTGCAGTGTGGGCGAGACTGAGACAAAGACTAAGGTGTGCACAGAGGTCAGGCACCAGCCAAGGGAACCACCCAGTTCAGCCCACATGTTCAGAGTTGCAAATAGAGTAGAATTTTATTTAGAAAAGGAGGGGTACTAAGCTGCCCTCTGCAATTACTGTCCAATTTAAAAAGTTATGAACTATACCACATTTTTAGACTCATTTACCTTTGCATGCCTGTGTAATTCAAGAGTGCTATGTTAGTCTGGAGAAAAGAAATTTTAACGTGGAGCTCATAGACAAGTGTTGCAAAGGGTTTCTTAAAAAAGGAATTTCCTTACAAACCATATAACATGTAAATGATGATTTGAAGAACTTATAGAACTGAAAGAAGGTAATACTCACAGAACACCAAGTTCAATTTGAAATGAATTTAATCACTGAACATTACTAATACTGATGGTGTTATAGCTACCTGCAAACTATAACAAAGCTATAATATATTAAGGAAAGCTACGAGTTTAAAAATCATAAATTTTAAAATATTGACTAAAACTATAATTTTGTTTAAATGAAGTATAGGGTCCTTCATCATATAATTATCTAAAGTATGCCAGGCATGTTGACAGTTATCTTTTCTAAAACTACAATTGAGAAACGTTACTACGTGATTGATGTAAACCATGGAAATAGTACATTTGGTTTAAGAAAATATTAAATCCATATAACCCTATATTCTGAAAATAAGTCTCTTCATTATTACGTTATCTCCCACATTCAAAGGAAAGTGCTACATAGCTACAATCTTTTTTCCATTTGATTGTTTTATTTAATTAAAAAGTTTTAATTGAGGTATAACTGACACATAACATTTTTAGGGACATGACATAATGATTCCATATTTGTATATATTGCGAAATGATAACCACAATAAGTCTAGTTAACATCCAGCCCCAAAGATAGTTACAACTTTTCCCCTTGTGATGAAGACTTTTATGATATACTTTCTTACCCTGAATTTTTATGAATTTACTTAGAAAAATACCTGTATAGCCGAGTACATGTTTATTCAAGGCCGGCTGTATAACTGGGAGATCTCTGAATTAACTTCCATGTAGAATATAAGATTTATTAATTAAAGGATAAATAAGATGTGCTAATATGAAGCTTACATATACATTCTAAAACTTACAGTAACTACAGAAATTGTTTAGAATCTAGACTTGAGATTTTTCAGGGAGGAGTGTTTTATCACAGACACTGTTTAGAATTTCTGATACATAACCACTATTGGTAATTAAAAGCAGGCAGACTTTTAGTGGGTTTCTTGAAGTTTGAAATCTCTACAAACAATGAGAATTACTATGGCCTCCACCCAGGTGGTGCTCTTATTGTGTGACGCTTGGTATGCCACTTCTCAAGGTGCAATCTGCCACTAAAGTACCATCCTCCGAGATGGGCTTGCTGCATTCTACATATCTAACATGCTTATTAGAAAACCTTTTAAAAGTCAATATTAACTGAGGACCTACTGAGTGCTTGGTACTGTGCTTTGTGTTTTGTCCACATAGACTGGATGCCCATGAATTTTACTAATTACGAGTCAATAATATTTATTCATTAACTCCATCTTAGCAGGGTTTTTAAAAGCTCTTTTGTTAGAAGTTATTGTGGGTATTTAAATTTCTAAGTAAATATCACATAGTCACATATATTCCATTTCTCAGGCTTTTCAATAACTCTGATTGGCTTTCTCCTTGTATGTTCCAAATTAGTGAGGTTGCATTATAAATCAACATTGAGAAGGTTAAACATTAACATTTACATAAACATTCACAACTTAAGATCTCTTGGTATTATTTAAATTTCACAAGTCACATAGCATCAGATTCATATGTTGTATTTTTACAAGCAGCAAACTGAAGAGAATGAATTTTAACTGAAACCTTTTCCAGACATTCATAGGAGCAACATTATCTCCAATCTGCCCTCTCATCATTTAGCAGCTGCATATATGCACAGATTTTCTGGTTATATGATTCTAGTACTCTTGAAAGACTTTTTTTAAAAAAAAACAACTAAAAGAAAATCTGACTTACCTCAAAAGGCATTTTGGTGTGTGATATCATGCTAGTTGCAGACACATCGGAAGCAGGTGTATGTCTGGCAAGAAAATAACACACAAAACTTAAACATACAGTTAGCCCGGTCAGGAGTGGGTCAGTGGTTGAGCATCTACCTATAACAGGAGATCGGGGTTCAATTCCCAGTCAGGGCACATGCCTGGGTTGCGGGCTCCTCGATGCCCAGTAGGGGGTGTGCAGGAGGCAGCCGATCAATGACTCATCATTGATGTTTCTCTCTCTCTTCCTCTCTCTGAAATCAATAAAGATATATATATTTTTAAAAAAAACAAAAACCCACAGTTAATTTTTCCCACTCCTGCTTTATAGCTCCCGCTTTCCTACCACCGTGGGCTCCTTCGTCAACCACAAAATACCCTCTCAGTCACCAACAGTCTACTCAAGCAGCCCGTTCTACTTACAGCTTATTTCTCTCTGCTGTTGGTAAGAATCACCTGGTGCAGTTAAAAATAAAAACGACCAGCCACTCTCCTGTAGATAAGATTTTAATGGGTTTGAGGTGAGGCTCCAGAGTGTGAATTTAAGCAAGTGTCCCCCAGTAATTCTTACAAGGCAAGTTTAAGAACAAGCAGAAGAGGCCTGCCACAGATCTTCACAGTTCCTCTACCAGGGGTGGGGAACATTTTTTTCTGCCAAGGGCCATTTGGGTATTTATAACATCATTCGTAGGCCATACAAAATTATCAACTTAAAAATTAGCCTGCTATATTTGGTCGAACATTTAATTAACTCACCATGTGATGGCTGGAACTGTGCTTGCCTTGGCAGGGCCAGACCAAATGATTTAAAGGGCTGGAAGTTCCCTACCCCTGCGTAAACTGATCAGCCTCGAGGGCTATCCTCCTGTGGGTGTTAGACTTTAGGATATTTGAAAACAAGAGCAGGACAAGTTTGGAGAAAGCCGAAGGGCATCTTTGTGTACAGCTCTGATTTAGGTTTTCCACACCCTAAAGATGTTATCAGAGGGAAAGGTTTGGGTATGTGCTGTGAAGTACACCACCACCAGAGGGCAGCACGGAGCTGACAGATTCTACAGGTTTGGGGATTTTTTATTTCACATTACCACATAAAATGGTTGCACCTACATTTCTGTGTGAACTCAGATTACAAAGAACAAAACAAAACACAAAAAACCAACAGCACTTAAAAGGCATATGTAAAAAGATGTTAGCATGTATTTTCCATAGTCTCTCTCTAGAGGGTTTTTAAAGGCAGCTATTATACCAAAAAGTTTCCTTAAAGTAGCATTGCACCTGAATCAAAACATTGCATTATTAGACCACAGAGATTCCAGGTAAACAAGTGGTGTCCCAAATCCTCAGCCTGCAAGTTTCAAAGTGCTCGTCCCACTCTTTTAACTAACATTGTAACTGGAGGCTTTTCAATGGTTTTAATCAAATGTTGAGAGTTCTAGGTGGGGGGGAAATGGGGTGACAATTTGGGCAAGTGATGACAAAGCGTTTTAAATTTTTTTTTTAACACTTTTTCAAGTGTAGTTGAAATGTTGCCACCACCTGTCAGAAAACTATACCCCCTTCCCCAATACCACCGTCCCCCCAAGTATTCTTGGCCCACCCCCACTTTCTCCAGTCCACATTTCTCGCAGAAACAGAAAATTCCTCTGACAACCCATTTGTAGCTTCTACAAATACCACCAAGGGCTTCCCC